CCCCAAAACCCCAAAACCCCAAAACCCCAAAACCCCGAGCTATCAAAATTTTATAAAAATAAAGATAAATCAGGAAAATAGTTAAATTAAATAAATGTAAAATAAGAGCTCATAGATCGCTTATAGAGAAAATCCACGCAATTAGACGAACAAGCTCATGTAAGTATTAACTTTCTATAGTATTTTGAATTTCTTTACATGATGAAATATGTCTAAGTGAAATTTACAGGCAAGAATTGACAAATAAGACGATGTTGGAGCATATCATTAACTTGAAACCCACAATCGACAATAAAACCCCTACATCTTTTTTAATTAAAAGGAACAATCGATAAAGTGGCTCCATAATTAATCAGTCCTCGATGACTCCTATTGATCCTCTGAATTAGTCTAAGGAACTTAGCAAGAGCACTCTCAAAATGTCAAAACCTGCTAAAGAAAGGTAAGTTCAATAGAAAATCTAGATTGATAACGAATATTTGATTTTAAAAAAATGAGTGTAATTTTAATATTAGGGAAAGAGAAATTCATCAGTAAAACAATGTCCTCCTCAGCAAAATGCTGGACATCATTAAGGTATTCTCAGCTATTAAGTTATATTAATCGTAATATATATAGAGAAAGAAGGGTACGTCTCACACTTCGAAGTCTACTAATGGTGTTTTCAATTACAATTAAACCTAGCCTATCATTCAATAAAGCTTATCTAACAGAATAAACACTCAGACAAGCAATTCATTTATCAATCAAAACAACAACACTCAAAATGTCTCAAACCAGCTGTCCTAGTCATCATAACTCTAGTTCAAAACTGCCAATTTCAATGGCACACTTAACTTTTACCAAAGAAAGAAGGAGCTGTATAAGATTAATTAGGAGAATTAGATACTTTTGAGGACAATTTAAGGTGCTTAGCCCACTTACACCAGAGTTGACTGGAGACAGCACACTTAAAAAGTAAGCTTATTTTATAAGTTATTATAACATTCACTTGAATAGTTCAAAAAGTACAGAAAGCAGATAGCAACCACAAGGCACAGTTAGACTGTATCAGTAACTGCAAGTGGAGAAAGATATGAGCCAGTCAAGCCTAACAATGGAATTTTCTACTAGCATTCAAAGACACCAGTCAATCCATCACAGTTTCCATTTGTGCAAAGAGTATCTTTAAATAATGTGCTTTCCTAAAAGAAGCACGATAATTTCATGGACTTCAAGACTCCCCAATCAATGACTTAGCAGCTTAACACCGCAGTGACTTCAAACTCTAAAAGATTTCAAAACCCACAGACGCCTTCAAATCAAAACTTTTACGAATAGCAAAATATCAGCGCTATATCAAACAATTAGACTAATTACTCTCCAAGCAGGATTGATACTTAGGAGCATATGAATAATTATGTGCACGCTTAAACCAGTGGAGTGAGTGCATAGTTCTTCCACAGATGAGTGCATACCTCACAGCAAAGCAAGAGATTAACTTAGTTTGGAAACAGCAAGTATACTAAGAGTCCTTTGGTAGGCTCAACTATCGAGCCTTCTTCTATTATTGTTCAAGAACAAAAGATGTAGTGGAACCAAGATCCGCAGATATCCAATAACAAGATAGCTGCAGGGCAAGTGCGCACAGGAGATACATTGGTGAAGAACGATAGTAATCTAATGCCCAAGTAAAGTTACAGGTAAAATTAGAGATCATAGCAGCATACCAGCCGGATTGTAAGCAACTTACTCGAAAATTCTACTTAGTCAAAGTATGTTAAGCCATCAACAGCCTCAGCTTATGCTGAAATACTCAAGATCTACTACCCACAAGGCAAGGTGCCTAAGTTTAACTTTATGGCCCCCAAGCAACCTCTTTCTAAGTTGATAAATAACATGACACAAAGAGCCTCTTCACAGCTGAGGAAAAGAACACCTGCAAAAGTTAACTAATGGATGCAAGGGAATTCACATCAGGAGCTGTTCAATGAAACTTCTTAGAATTATAGAATTCCACAATTTCATGATTAGTAGAGCAACCAGAGCAATAATAACATCAATCAGAGTCCCTTTGACTTTGAGTTCTCTCCTCAGTATCAGAAGACTCAACCCTTCATCCTAAGTGAGGAGTCTGACCAAAAGCGCTAGTAGTTAATGAGCAGACAAGGTAGACGCAAAGTTAACGGCAACACTCAAGGAGACTCTGAAATCAAAATGCTCAGAAACAGAAGGGTAGATGCTTCAAACGGAAAGACTGCAAATATGAACATCTTTGACGATAGATTTGAGTTGGAGAGTTGAGGCAGAGCCAATGCTACTGGGCTTTCAGGCACTAGTGAGCCTGAAGATGAGGACGATAGGGACATAGACGGAGGAGGAATCAACCTAGATGACAGTGGAATCAACCAGACTAACTATTACAACAACGGCACTGAAATGAATGAAAGAGTTTATCTCAGAAACTTCGATCAGGAGGACAGGTCGCAGATCCTACACACTCAGCCGTTCGAGGAGAGCTTAATAAATACTGGATAAGAAGGCTAGACTTCTTACAGAGGCTACAGAGATAATCTCAACATGAGTTAACCGGTTCCAAGACTAGACAACTCTAGTATGTTATAGAGTTCAGTAAATGAAAATTAGAACTAAGAAAATACAAGTTTAATTTTGAAGGATTTGCTGAGTCAGCAAACCAATAAAAATCCCATTGTAGAGTAGACTCCTTCTCCCAAGAAGCATGAGCCTTTTAAACTTGAACAAGACGAGGAAATTGCTCAGGATCAATATAATTTCAAGTTAGAAGAAATAAAGTAGGAACAGGAGCAATAGTAGGATGATTAAAATGAATTGGAGGAGTCTTATCTCCCAAGGTAGTCCTCAGCCACATAGCAGGATAGAATGGACTTATACAGAAACGGCTATCAATAGGAGCAGTAGAATTCATTACCAACATCAAGAATGCTGCAATTCGAACATTAGACCACCTTCAATAAAGTACATAGTTCTGACTTGAAGCAGGAACCAGCTAATAGAAGCATAACTAATCAAGAATACACATTCACACATAAAGACCAAAATAATAGCATAAAGGAGTTTAGTGCATTGGTTTTGGACAAGCCCACTGATTAGTCCTTAACAATAGGTTAAGATCCACAACTGATCTTTGAACTTTTACCACAATAGCATGTAGTAGATACTTAGAACGACTACCAGGATATCTAGCACTATGAGGAATAAATCGAAGAGGGAGAAGATTAAGATCAAGATCTTGATGATGAGTAGTATGTTGAGGACTACGAGTAGGATCAATAAGAATATGAAGATGATGAAGTTCATCAGAGCGTCAAGGTACTTAATCAAATTGATAATAAAAACACCAACGCTAACACTAACACAAACAACAATAGGAAATATATAGATAGCGATGCAGATGCGGATGCCAATGAATACGAAGAAATTAATGATGAAATATTAGATGAGTATGATTGAATACCCTCAAACACATATAATTACTAGTAAACCACCAACCGAAAGGACTATTTATACATTTAAATCTAAGCTAATGAATATACATTTTCTAATCATTTTAAATTGAAAAAAATACTGGTTGAAGGGGTTTTGGGGTTTTGGGGTTTTGGGG